ACTCCAGGGGAAGGATACTGCGAAATCCCCATTCTCTCCCTACTCCAGGGGAAGGATACTGTAAAATCTCCATTCCCTCCTCACTCCAGGGAAAGGTTACTGCAAAATCCCCATTTCCTCATGATCAGCTGGGACTCGGGAGGCAGGAAATAGATAGGGGTGGCACCAGTCAGAGGTGGTATTTACCGGTTCTCTGAACTACTCAAAATTTCTGCTACTGGTTCTCCAGAACTGGTCAGAACCTGCTGAATACCACCTCTGATTAAGGCAACAGCTGAATTTGGAAAGGAAGTGGGAGAAAAGGCAGTAAAGTATGATTTCTAAAGTTTATGGAGAGTCTCAAACATCCAGGTCATGGTTGTCCTAAATATGCTTTTCCAAAAGGCAACTGGACTTTCTTGGGGTTTTTTTTCCCCTTGAAAATATTTAGCTTCTCATCCAAGAACTGAACTGAAGAAGCTTCTTGAATGAGACTGATTTCCAAAGCCATAAATGTGCCACTTCCATAATGCTTAACGCTGCCTGGTGGTTCACTAGTTTTCAGCCTGTGTACTTTTTTATTATATAGAGCTTTGTTTATTAATATTATTTCCCGATAGGGACTCAAACTCCATTAATTGGCCTGAATGAAAGCCAGAAATGACCTGAAGGAAAGCAAGCATGTCCAAAATGTTGATTAATCATATGATTTCTGCGTTTTCTGGGCAGTGGAGAGGTTTAATCTATTACGCATAGTTCCTGTTTAGTGACCACGATTGGAACTGCGACTCTATTTATGATCTTACTTCAGTTTTCCTTTGTTTTACAGACCTTCAAAGGTAATCAATATTGATTATATTTGCAGGTGTGTAAAACGAAGAAAAGCTGAAGATCATAAGCAGAGTCTTCACCCTGTAATTAATGGACAAAGCAAGAAATCTTTTTGAGATATCAGCAGAAGTTAAGTGTAACTTCTCAGCACCTATGAGGAATTCTACATTCAGAATAGTTGCTTAGTTTATAAATGATCAAATAGGGTTTCATTGTCAAACATGTCTTAATTTCCATCCTATAGAGGAAGTTATTTGCATATATTCATCTGTCTTTGCTTAGAGGAGCACATTAATTAGTCAACATACACAAGTCCAGAATTTGCCTATAATTTAAAGTCTATGAATGAAAAGATAAAATACCTTCTTTAAGTTCCTCTGTTACATTGCACAAAATGGAAGGATACGAAATGTCAAATTAAAAGAGTTTTTAATTTATATCACTCATGATAGAAAGCAGAAAAGTATGCAGATAATTCAGTATGATCAGACCAGTGGTGGGTTTCAATTTTTTTTAGAACCTATTCTGTGGGTGTGGCCAATTTTGTGGGCATGGCTTGGCAGTCATGTGACTGGGCAAGTATCGCCAACTTGACATCACTCATGCACACTCAGTCACATGACCACCACCCCAAGCAATGTGGCAAAAAATTTTGGGACTCCTATGGGGCGGGGAGAGAGAAGGGAAAACCTCCCAAAAATAGACAACTGGAAGATTAAGGGCCGAAATTAGGGAGATTGGAGAAGGCAGGACAGAGGGGAATGCAGTAGAAAGCCATCACATGCTGGTGAAAGAACTTTGGGAGATCGGAGGAGGCAAGACAGAGAGGAATCCAGGAGAAAACTCCTGAGCTTGCCGCTGCTGTCTGGTGGATTGTGCCGCTGGACCTCTCCATGCTTCTCCGTTCACCACCTCTACTCCCAGATATGGGACTTGACACCGAATTGGGCAAGGATAGTGCGGATGGGCGGGGGAGGGAGCGAGTGATGGAGTGGCTTCCGGATCAGCGG